CTGCTCGACCAGGACGTCTCCTTGAAAGGCCGACGTTGCCGCAGCTCAGGTCCCAGAAGGACGCGGTTCTGCGCGCCTCGCGCCTCGTGGACGTGGGCCGCATGCCCGCGAGACGTGGGCGGACGCGCCAGAGGGCGCGGCGGAGGGCTTCGCAGCCGGCTGAGCGGCGGGCGGGCGATTCATCACCGTGGGCGCGCGGCGGCGTGTGAGTTATGACGACGTCGGCGTCGAGGGGAATGGCGTCCCAGAGGGATGGGAGGTCGGTGGCTGTGGTTGGAGCGAGGGGGTGGAGGGGGGAGGTATAGGTGAAGGCCGAGAACGAGCCGTGGAGGGATGATAGGGGGGAGAAAGGGGAGCCAAAGGCCGTGAAAGTCGTGTGTGGCCCTTCTGGTGAGGAGAGGCGGATGGTGGTTGAGGCGTGAGCGAGGTAGGTAATCGATGGGGAGGATAGCAGGAGGTCGAGGCAGTCTTGGTGAGTGTGAGAGGAGTCGGCCAGCGAGGAGCCCCGACTGGCGACGAGCTCGGGATCAAGATTTAGGTCATGATTTCCTACGTAGCCATTCAGTTGTCGGCGTAAGGCCAAGTTGAGCATGAATACCGCTGCTGGAGATACCGACGGCGGCGGCCGGAGACGCTGAGGTGATTCTGGAGATACAGGCTCATCCCTTCAAAGAGGGGCCAACGTACCTGCAACGACTATTTTGGATTCAAAGTCTGCCTTCTCTAACCACTGAACGACCCGAGACAACTGATCGAGAATTAGTTGCGGCGTTTCGGTTGATAGTCATGTCCAGGACCTGATCCAGGGCAAGCTGATTCGCGTGCACACAACAAATATTGATGCCATGACATCCCGCGGGCCGAGCCCTTGAACCTGGAAATATACCTTGAGGGGGTCGCAGTCTTACCTCGGAATATGATCCCTGGTTCGTCAAGTCACCAGCATGGATGAGGACATCGCCACGGGGTAGGGCGGGTGTGTGATTGTGGGTGTCGGAGATGAGGACGAAGCGGGTACGACGGAGTGTTTCGGTTGACGATGACATGCTGAGTCTGAATCTAGGGCGTTGAAGCCGACGAAAACCCCGATGTCGCGGTTTCCCTTTGATGTAGGCTCTGGCTGGTGCGGCACGTTGCTCTGTGAGGTGAAGGTATTCGGTCTTCAGACCGTGTCTATTCCGGGATCGTGACTGATGACCTCTTGTCAAGCAGCGATATGGTCCCTGGGCAAGTGCCTGCGTCTGCGCTCGATTCGAGTGGAAAGCTGCGACTGCCTCTGGCCGTTCTGTCTTATTGTGGCTGGTGACGCCACAGGCTCGCTATATTCACCCAAAGAGGACGATCAGTCGGCTTGGATATAGAATGACCAATATAAAGGAAATCAAATGTCAGAGGGTGCGATGATGCCTACTGCTCCTGATCGAGGTGCTCTATTGGTGCGATATATATGTCCTTGTTATTCATAAGGGCTGATTCAATCTGGTGCAAATGAGGCCATCGCCACAGGTCATTTCAGGACAACTGGCGGAGAGCAGCTGGGTGTAGGTAAGCACTGGTTGACGAAGACCGGGCCTGACTGGGGTCAAGTGCCGGGAAGTGAGTTTCTAGGCCCTCCCTGGTAGAACGATGTCTATCAACCAAGTGCCTGACAACAGAATGTCTCGGCGGCCACGTTTGAGACCGCCGGATTCACAGCTGTTTGTAGACAAGACGTGATGGCCACTGCGTGGTCCCTCGTCGCCGGTGCACCCGTGGTCAAGACCGTTTCCCATGGGCCACTTCCGCTGTTCATCAGGCTGAGACGACGGTGGAGGCATCTGATTCATGGCCCTGGCACGCAAATCCCTCCCAGAGGCAGCCCTGAACGGCCCCGGCGGGCCCCCGGGCGAGGCACCAGCCCCCCCAGGCTCAGTGGACGCAGCGCTGGTGGGCATTGGTGGGTTCACGCACGGTACAGATAGGACGGGTTCCATCCGCATGAGCCGCTCATCTCCGGGTGTCTTGCTTTTTTCGCTGCAGCGGAGCGAGTGAGGTTGCTCATGAGGGGGATCGCAAGTAGGCATCATTGCCACACAAACAGTGCTGCAGCTGAGCCCCTCCTCATGCCCGTCACGGGTGCAGTGCGTTGAACGCCGCCAGGACCACTGAAGAGGCAGCGATAGGACAATGCAGTGAGAGGAGCCACCTTGGCTGGAGGGTCTGCTGCTGCAATTGGCCTGGGGGCTGCAGAAGCGCTGCAGCGAATTGCTTCTGTGGGGAAAGAGGGGGGAGACAAGATCACTTCTGCTGCGCAATGTGCATTGGCGAGACGCGGCCTGTCTCTGGTTTCGATCCGGAACCTCTCTGACTTGAGGAAGAGGGAGAAAGAAGAGTAGTAGGGGACAGAGATGAGGGAGGAAGCAGCATGCTGATGTAGGAAGACGAATCGGGTCGGCATCACGAAGGCAAGGTAACATGGTCATATTAGGTCCAATCTCATTACACCAAACCGTGGCTTGTCGTCGCCCAGTTGGAAGCGGTCCGCCGTGGCCCCCCCCGGTGAGCCGCTCCCGAAGAAGAGGAAGGAGGGACCACCCACGCAAAACTGAAGGGCAAGAGGGGAGAGTGGGGTTGCACGCTAAAGCTGGCACGGCCGCATGGGATTGGGGAGTTGAATTGATCCCCACCTATTCCAGCCAATAACCATGCCAGGTCGTGCCTGCTTCACCAACCCCCTTCCAAAAAAGACCCGACACTGGGGCGGGCACTGGCCTGCCTGGGGACCAGGACGTCCACGCCAAATTCCTCCACCACCTGCTACCTGCTACCTGCTGCTGCTCTCTCTCTCTCACCACTCGTTGCCCTGCTTGCTGCTGTCTCGTCTCTTCTCCTGCTCAGCGAACGTCGCTGGTCCCTGAAAGACAGACGCAAGCAGACAGACCACCAAACGCCAACACGAATTGACCCTGTGCATCGCCCGGCGTTTCCACGACTCTCGTTTACCAGCTCGACTCTTCTTCCCATGTTATCCAGTTACAACTGCCGCCCAGCACCTTTTGGCACGCGCTGATCCCGAACCCAGCCATCAGGGGCACCGTCATCCATTGTCTCCGTCTCTCCTCGCTTCGGCAACCTCTCCTTCTTTGCCCGTCGGTGAAGGGGCCAAAAAAACGCTGGCACGCAGACCCGTTCCACTCCAACACTAGTCTGCCAGTTAGCCTAGCTTCCACACAAGCGATTGTTCGTTGACGACCCGCTGCTGCCCTTGCTTGCTTGCCCCTTCGTCATATCCCGCCTGCCAAACTCTCTCCGCGACAACCGACGCCGAACCTTTCCTCTCCCGTTGCGTCTTCGTTGCGTCTCCGCTCAACTTTCCGCAAACACGCCCCGCTGGATGACCACGACGCGTCCTCACTCGCTACCGAGACTGAGAGCCACGCCTTGCTGGATTATCGCGCTCGTCTGAGCTTGAGCATGACCACCATGGCGGGTGCTCCAGCCTCAACCGCAACCATCACCGCCACGACCAACAACAACGATGTCCAACAGTGGGACTTTGCCTCCAACAACCATGTAGATGTACGTCAACCCTGGGTGCCTTTCTTTCTGTCCTGTAGCCGCATGGTTCACTATCTCCATGCGTAGCGTCCCTTTGTTTGGGTCAGTAGCTGACTCGGAAATTCGCACAGGAATACCCCCAGGACACAGTTTCTCCCATACTCAGTGAATACGGGAGCCGGCCTGCGAATGGCAACGCCTCCGCCGGCTATGAATATGGCTTTGAGCCACTGCCACCCTCCCGAAAGAAACATTCCGTCGAAACATGTCGTCTCTCAAGAACGCTCGATCTGGGACAGGAGCAATCGCTCATCAGATGCTTCGAC